AGGGTTGCTATGAGTCAGAGCTGACTCCATGGCACTTAACAACAACAACAATCGAAAACTAGGGTGCATAATAGTCCTTTACATGCTGGTGGTATAGTGGCTAAAGCATCTGACTGCTAACCAAAAGGTTCCAACCAACCAGCTAGCCCTCAGGAGACAGATGTGGCCATTTGCTTCCATAAAGATTTACCATCTTAAAAATCCTATGGTGCAATTCTTCTCTGTCCTACAGGGCCACTATGAGTAAGAATCAACTCTGTGGCAGTGAGGTTTTGGTATGGCGTACCTACGTAGCTGAATTAACCCAAATATGCCATCAATGAAGAGGAACAACGATTCAAAATATGAGTACCCATTGCTCAAGGGAAACTGTAATCTAATTTCAGTTATCTGATTTTATTGACAGACATTTCCCTCTTATTGACAAACTTTCAAGGATTTCTTTAGTGAATTCAACATGCACAAGGATACAGTAACTTTATAAATATTCAGTTTTGCTATGCCACCTTCAAAATCCCCTCAAGAGTAATTAAGAAGGCAATGTCTTAATGTACTTTTAGCAAGAATAGGGTCTTGACATTCCTGTGCCTCTAATTTATACACTCTGCCTTTATTGTAAGGAGCTATGGCAGAACAGTGGCTAGATGCTTGATTGCTAACCCGTAAGTTAGAGGTTCAAATCCACCAGTTTCTCTGTGGGAGAAAACTGCAGCAGTATTGTTCTATAAAGACCACAGCCTTGGAAACACTATATAATAGATTTACTCTGTGGGCTAAACCATTGAACTGCAAGGTTAGTTTGAACCTCAAGTTAGGTGGTTCAAACTCACCACCTGCTCCTTGGAAACCCCATGTAGGGTTTCTATGAATCAGAACCAATCTGAAGGCACTAAACAACAACAACATAGGGCCACTCAGTCAGAATTGACCCAGTAACAGTGGGGTTTGACCCTAAGCACAATTAAATTTCTTATAAAATTTTAAAATCTTCAAAAAATTTAGTCAACATATGAAACTCTATCATGATTATAATTCACTAATTTTTATTATCTAACTGAAGCAATAGAGGGAGAACCAAATTCTTCCATTATCTTCCACCTAGTCAAGAATATGATAAAAAAAATCAGTCCTAACTTTAGAATATCTTAATCTATCCTACTCAGTTGTTTTCAAGTATGAAAGGCTTAGGGTAAAAGAAAAGATTCAGTACTAATTATGTGACTTTGAGTAAGGTGTGTGTAAGGTACTTAACCTGTGTGTGCCTCAGGTCCCTCATCTGAACCTTCTTTTCTTAGACAAGAACTTAAAATGCTTAGCATTAAAAAAAAAAAATTTTTTTAAATTTATTTGAAGCTTTTATTCTGAATTGAGTGATAGTTTACATGGGAGAACATTGGATTTAAACTCATTGTTTCATTGCAATGATTACAATTGCCTCTGTGCATCATCATTCAACAGTATTTGCTTCTATTCCCTCTGGTTTTTTGTGGGGGACAACACTCAGGAATATTTAATAATTTCACCAACCAAAGGGCACATTCTGCAAGCCTGCCTCCTGGTTGCAAAAATGCTTAATTTTTTATTACATCCTTTGAGTTATATATTAATCCCTGACTTTAATTCTATCTTTAAAAATGAAAATAGTTTGTTTTTTTTAAACTACCCATAAATCTGAAAATATTATTACTTATAAATAAATATTTGGTTGGATTAACTCATGGGTTTCAAATTTATTTTTTCAGCATTTTTATTAGATCTCAGACTTTTATGAGATCTCATAAATTCCTTTAGTGAACATTTAGGAGGTGGTAAAGTTTGGGTTCATCTGAAAATATCTTTGCTGCTGTTACTGTGTGCCTCTAAGTACTATATAGCACTTCTGAGGAACAGCTGTTGGATTTGAACCACTGACCTTGTGGGTAGCAGTCCCTTGCTTATCCTACAGCCCAATGAAAATGCCTTTAGTTTACTCCTATTCTTATGAGCTAAATATGCCAGGTACACAATTTTGGATGACCATTATACTCTCTCAGAATTTTGAAGACTATAGTTTACTGTGTTTGGACTCCCTTGATTTCTGAGAATTCTGCTAATAGGCTGCCTTTCCTAAAAAGGTAATTGATCTTTTTTCTGGATCACTTTAAGAACTTCCTTTCTTTGGTGTCATGTAGCTTTACTACTTTGTTTTTACATATGGTGTTCTTAACATTTATTCAGCTTCTCTTCAAAGATTATAAGAGTATTTCCTCAATTTTCTGTGAAAATTCTGTTTATGCATCTTAGACTTCCTAATTCATTCTTCCGTATCTTTTAAAATGTCTTGTATTCTCCAATTTCTTATCTCTGTTGCATGCTGGGTAATTTCTTTACATCCTTCTCCTGACAGTTTACTAATCCTCTCTGCAGTTATATATCATGCCAGTTAGTCTGTCACCGTTTCTTGATTACATTTTGAAAAACTAGCTGTTCTGCAGTTATGCTTTTTCTCATTACTATTAATTTTGTGACTGTATTTATTTATTTAAATATTTAATAATTAAATGAAAATTTAATATTTTAGAACTCAAGTACATGAATTATTTTAGACAGCTGGAAGGACCTTTTTTATTTCTGTTGACTAACTCATGATATTTCTTTTTTGTTTGATCTTAGCGAATTCAGCATGCACAAGGATATAGTAATTTTATAAATCCTCAGTTCTGCTATGCCTCCTGCAGAATCTCTTCAAGAGTAATTATGATGGTGCTATGTGCTATACTTGGGTGCTTGGGTTAATGCGCTGGACTGCAAAGTCAGAAACCCTACATAGGATTGCTATGGGTCAGAACCAACTAGATGACACTTAACAACATCAACAACATGTGCTGTACTACAAAGATGGTTTGAATTGCAAGGTCAGTGATTCAAGCTCACTAGTCACTCACTCCTCAGAAACCCTATACAGGGTCACTTTGGGTCGGAACCGACTCAACGACAGTTAACAACATCTTAATGCATTGGTATGGTGCTTTGGGATAAAGCACTGAACCGCAAAGTCCATATGAACCACAAATTTGGCATGGTTCACAGTCATCAGCCACTCCTGGGAAACCCTATACAGGATCAATACGTAACAACAACAACAATCTTAATGTACTTAGAGTAAGAATGGAGACTCTTGCCAGAGAAATCTCTTAGCTCTTAACTGCTGATGCACTAACTAGACAGGGCTGTTCCTGCTTCACACCTTCACACATGCACATTTGTCTGCAGGAAGCCAAGTAATCCTACTGATCTAAGACCACTTGAATGTCCTTTCAATAGTCATAGACTTGATGGCACTTAACAACAACATGAAGTGGGTAACCAAAAGGAAAATACAAAACTAAAATTTCTTTTTTAGATGCAAGAAACAGCAAGAGACATCAATTCCTAAGCTGACCCTCTTAAAATAAAAAAATGTATATCTCAACACAGGCTCTTGAACTATCAGTGGAGTGTGAATAGTGTTTCTATAGCCCTCCTGCAAACATTGCCATTTTGAAAATCCTGCTTCTGACAATGATGAAGTAGCTTACAGTAAACCAATGCTGCTTTGAGAACATGTAGAAAAGATGAGCTTTTTGTTCTGTTTGTTCTAAAGCTATTTAGATAGGACAACTCATTTAAGCAGCCAGGTTCCTACAGAAGAAAATCCTGCAATCAGTTATCTGTTCTCTTCAGAGCATTATTTACTGGTTGTTGGCACCACCAAGAGGCTGAGAATGATGCAGAAAGATGAAATTAAGGGAAAGGTAAGCCAGCAGAGCGTTTAGCAGGATTATGGGGCTGATGATACAAAAATGGGAGTTTGGGGATGCAGAAGAATTTGAATGTCCAACATTTTAGGTAAGGCAAGCAGTTTCCCCTGAAATTTGGTGAATTCATAAGTAGGTAAGCAGGTGGCTACTAAAATCACAGCAAAAATTTCTGCAGCACAGATAAAACAAAAGCCTTGAGGATAGAACACTTTAAGGAGAGTTCACAGTAAACATCCCAGACCCTCAACTGGGATTCTTGGAACGGGAAAATTCAGATATAGATAGAATAGTTCAAAAACTGCAGTCCAGTATTGAATAGCCAAAACTCTGACTGGATGGAGTAATCTTCCCCCAAATAGTTTCAGTTTCCTTACTAAGTCTTTATTGCTCTGAATTGCTATCCAAACTCTTTATCATTGCTCACCAGACCCTATACCATCTGGTTTCTGTCTACATCTGTCTTAACTTCACAGTCCTCGTCTCTATCTGGTTTTAGCTTTTCCAGCTATTTGTCTGTATTTCCAACTGGAATATAAATTCAGAAAGAACTAGATGTGTCTTAATCACTGCTATATTCCTGTTCAGTGTCCAAGACAATACACATTTCACAAATATTTGCTGAGTAAATTAAAGCTTAAGCAAGAGAGATGCTTCTGTTTAGAAGTATAAGTGGTGTGTTATCCCCAATTTGGAAAATTCCATGCAGTTCAGACACCAAATTCTAGATGGGAATGCCTACAATAAAATTTTAGTAAATACCTAATATCCAAGAGAAGGAAAGCTTATCTACGATGCTGTTGAGGTATTTTGGTTGTTGACTTGTAGACTTTCAAAAAGCTTTCTAAGATACTGAATCATATTTCCTTCAAATTTAAATACCATTTCCTTTCAGCATGTATATATTTTGGGAAGTGGATCATATAAAGTCAGGATTTATTTTAAAGCAAATTATAATATGCATAGTATGCAAAATACTTTCTTGAAAAATGATTTCAGCAGTTTATAAGAATAAAACTGAAAATTTGTAAGCATACTATTAGCTTTATATTAAAAGATTATGCTTATAGTCATTCCAGATTTCTTATTTATCAAATAAATTCCAGAGAGAAAATCTGGTACAGCCACCTTGAAAGACTATGCATCTATTTCCACATTAGGCTTGGTTTACTTCATGAATGTCCTCTCACTGAGTATGAACTCTTCTCCCAGTGAGTTGCTTACCTGGTCGATTTTGTTTTTTAGCCTTCATGTGATTGGCTGTAGAAACAGCGTAGGAAGACGAGAAAGATCTGCTTTTGGTGAGGGTCATCATAACTGAGCTATTCCAAGTGTCAGGATTAACAGCACTATAAAAACAGAAAAAGTAATAGAAAAATTTAGAAAAAAAAAGAGCAATTATTGAGACAAATATTGTCAGAATCCAACTATTATTTTCATAACAGACTTGTCATTCTGAATACGAGTTCAGGCTCAGTGACAGAAACACTTTAAGTCCAAATGACAAAACAGGCTTTTAAAACCCCATTGGTGTTGTAGGTAGGGAGACAGCATTTACGCATCAAGTATACCCAGTTAGGAAAAGAGGAAAGGTAACACTCCTATTAATGAATGAATAAGAATCAAACAAGTCAACACTTACACAAGCTAATTTCCTCCTGCTAGCTTAGTTGTTGCTGTTGTTGTTGTATTTGATGTTGTTGTGTGCCATCAAGTCAATTCCAACTCACAGGGACCCTATACAGGGTTTCTGAAAGCCGCTGGTAGGCTTGTACTGCCAACCTTTGAGTTGGCAGTTCAGTACTTATCCTACAAGCTACACTTGGCCTCTATTTTATTTATATATGTATAATCATGTTCCTCATATAATTTCTTTTAAAAATAAAACAACTCACAGATTAACTGGCTAAAATGCTAAAGAATTTATATCAGTTATGAATGTCATAAAGTTTCTTTTGCTGTTCTTAATTATTATTCTTGATATGTATGTAAAAAATTAAATGCTTATAAGAGCTTTTCATCATAATGTGTTTTACAGCATTTGCTTGGGAAGGAAAAGGTTAATATCAGGCTTTTAGCCTGTTGTTTCTCTTTACAGGAGATACTCTGGAAAAAAAGAAGTGTTAATAATGGACCTGCTGCTAACATAGGAATGGGTTTTATTGGTTTTTATTTGTGAAATACTTTTAGTAGAATGTATCTAGTCTGTCTAGATTTCTTATTGTAAAAACCATAATAGCCCATTATCCACTGCTCAAAACCTTATATAATCAGTCTTAAATGGAATCCATCCTCATATGGAAATGAAAAGAATTTAGGGAACTGTGTTAATGATCTTGAACTACACCAAGGGAAAAATGCTTGGTCTGTATTTTGTTATCAACTGTGTCTTTTGAATTTTAGGTAAATTTGTTACTGGGTAAAATTTATAACTTGTATGAGCCTCATTGGACAATTTGACCATTTTCCAATCTCAGTCTGGCATTGTAAACAGGGAATACCTGCTCTGAGTGGTTTATTGAAATAAACCTGAAATTAATGAAATTATGGGAGCATGACTGTCTGGAGAATGTCCTATAAATGATGTAATTAATGGGGTATAAATTGGAAAGATTTTATAATCAAATTGCCTTCCTCTGTACAAGCAAAATTATGCATGCATTGTTTAAAACCCTGCATGTTAAATCCAAACCAGAATCAGATCTATGGAGAAAAAGGGCTTTTTAGGGAACTGCACTGAGCATTTCTGACTCTTCACGGAGAAAAACATTCAGTCTGTGCTTTGGTATTGCGTGTATATTTGATTATTATTAATTTAAGTTTTGAGACTAATTAGACACTGTGTGTTAAGTCTGATTTGATATACTGATCCTAAGTATTATCTCAGTGCTTTTAATTTTCAGAAACATTTTTCTTCAACCATGAATTTTTCTTTCTTATTTACAAATATCCAAAATAAACCCTAAAAGAGACATTTGAAATGTGGAACTTGAGCAATTAAGAGTAGCTTATGCTCTGGTGGAGTAGTGGATTATGTAGTAGGCTACTAATCACAAGGTCAGCAGTTTGAATCCACCAGCCACTCTATGGAAGAAAGCTGAGGCTTTCTACTCCAGTAAAAAATTTACATTGTTGGAAATGCTATAAAGTGTTACTATGAGTTGGAACCAACTCGATGTCACACAACTACCACCACCACCATGTTATACAATGAACTGGTGATTAAATTACAAAACACCTTAGTCTTAACTGGATTTATTTTTTAATATCTGATATAGGTGGTATAATATAGCAAACATTACTATGATTTAGTTTTCAAATAAAAACATTTTATGATATGCTAATTTTCAAGAGTTTATAATCTGATATAGTTGAGTACTTTCAATATATGGGGACTGAATATGAATTCCAAGCCAAATAAAATCTTAACCATAGCTATCTCCTTCTCAATGTTATACTTACATAATGCTTTGCAAATTATACTTTGGAAATTCAGTGAGTTGTTATTGTTAAGTGCCATTGAGTCGGTTCCAACCCATAGCGACCCTGTATAGGGTTTCTGAGGAGCAGCTGGTAAGCTTGAACCACCGACCTTGCAACCCTAGGTCTAACAGAATGAAACACTGCCCCGTCCTATGCCATCCTCGCAATTGTTAAGTTTGAGCTCATTGCTACTGCCACTGTATCAGTCCATCTCACTGAGGGTCTTTCCAATTTTTCCTGACCCTCTACTTTGCCAAGCATGATGTCTTTTCCAGAGACTTAGCCCTCCTGGTAACATGTCCAAAGTATGAGAGACAATGTCTCACCATCCTAGTATTCTAAGGAGCATTCCGACTGTACTTCTTCCAACACAGATTTGCTAGTTCTTCTGAAAGTCCTTGGTACTTTTTGATATTCTTCACCCAGTGCTATAATTCAAATGTGCCAATTCTTCTCCAGTCTTCCTAACTCACTATCCAACTTTCACATGCATATGAAGCTATTGAAAATACTATGGCTTGGGTCAGGTGCACCCTTAGTCCTCAAAGTGGTATTTTTGATCTTGAGCACTTAAAAGAAGTCTTGTGAAAATTTGCTTAATGCAATATGTCCTTTGACTTCTTGACTGCCTTTTGCATGAATGTTGATTGTGGATACAAGAAAATGAATTATTTGCCAACGTCAATCTTTTCCCTATTTATCATGATGTATTTACTAGTCCAGTTGTGAGGATTTTAGTTTTCTTTCCATTGAGGTGCAACCCATATCAAAGGTTGTGGTCTTTGATCTGCATCAGTAAGTATTTTAAGTCCTCTTCACTTATAGCAAGCCAGTCTGTATCATCTACATGTTGCAGGTTGTTAATAAGTCTTCCTCGTATCCTGATGTCATAATCTTTCTTATTCGTATACTCCAGCCTCTCAGATTATTTGCTTAGCATACATACTTAATCAGTATGGTAAAAGGATACAGCACTGGTGCATACCTTTCCAGATTTTAAACCATCCCTTTGTTCTGTTCTAATAATTCTTTTCGGTCTAGGTACAGGTTCCTTATAAGCACAATTAAGTGTTCTGGAACACTCACTTTTCAAAATATTGCCCATAAATTGTTAAGATCCACTCAGTGGGAGGCATTTGCATAATCAATAATGCACAGGTAGACATTTTTCTAGCACTGTCTACTTTCAGCCAAGATCCATCTGACTCCAGCAGTGATATCTTTCATTACACATCCTCTTCAGAATCTGGCTTGAACTTCTAGCAGTTCACCGTCAATATCCTGTTGCAACCATTTTTTAATTATCTTCACACACTTGTCTCGAATTTATCTCACTATTTAAGCAGTAGAATAACAAAATCCTGTAGGGCTAAACTCATAAAAGTTCTTCAAATCCTTTTTGTCATCATGGCTTGAATTTCAGACCCCAATCAAAAGAGGAGCAGGAGAACATAAGATTTGTCCAGAGTAACAAAGAATAAAAGAGAGGAGGAAGAAGACATTTGACAATGCCTGAACAGACTTTTGGCAGAGTCATCCTAAAGAAATGAAAACTTGTTGTTGTTGTCAGGTGCCATTGAGTCGGAACCAACTCATAGCGATCCCATGCACAGAAGAACGAAACAATGTCCGATCCTGGGCCAACCTCACTACCGCTGCCACACTTGAGTCCATCAATGATGCCACCTGGACGATCCATCTCGTTGGGGGTCTTCCTCTTTTTCTCTGACCCTCCACCCTACCCAGCCTGACATCCTTCTCCAACGATTGTTTCTTCCGGACAATATGTCCAAAGTAGGAGAGACGAAGCTTAGCCATCCTGGCCTCCAAGGAGCACTCTGGCTGCACTTCTTCCAAAACAGATCTATTGGTTCTTTTGGCAGTCTATGGCACTTTCAGTATTCTCCTCCAACACCACAACTCAAAGGCATCAATTCTTCTACGATCTTCCTTATTCACTGTCCAGCTTTCGCATCTATATAAGGCTATTGAAAACACAATGGCCTGGGTCAGGCGCACCTTAGTCCTCAAGCAAGCTGACATCTCTGCTCTTCAATACTTTAAAAAGTTCCTGTGCAGCAGATTTGCCCAGTGCAATACGTCATCTGATCTCTTGACTGCTACTTCGCGAGTATTGATAGTTGATCCAAGAAGAATGAAGTCCTTGACAACTTCAATCTTTTCTCCATTGATAAGAATGTTGTTTATTGGTCCAACTAAACTATGATAGGAAATTTGGTAAGGTGTGTTAGCAGAATAGGCAGACTGATATACACTATATATTAAGAACATAATGTTCTGAAGCTAAAAAATTGACAATGGAAAATATTTTCAAGGAAAGTATCATTGATGATGTAATTTAAAATTTTAAGGCATGCATGTAAAATACATTGGGTTAACATCCTCCTATATGGTAGTTAAAGAGCTCTGGTAGTGTAGTGGTTACAAGTTGGGCTGTTAACCTCAAGGTCAGCAGTTCACAACTACCAGCCATTTCCACAGGATAAAGATGAAGCTTTCTGCTCCATAAGATTTGCAGCCTTGGAAACCCTATAGTCACTATAAGTCAGAACCGACTCCATGGCACGTAACTACCACCACCACATCACCATGTGGTGTTTAGAAGTGGTATGAATGTTCAGGTAATAAGATGGAGTATAATTACAAGAATCATAAATCTACAGGTTTATTACACCATAGACCTCAATGTGGAAGAATCTAATTAAACATATGTTTAATCAAAGAAGCATTAAAAAAATACCAGTCTGTCTTTGAGAATTTCTCATTTTCCTTCCAATCTCAGCATGGTGCTTTATTTATATTTATGACTAGCATCAAGAGAAAAATCACTTCTGATATTACTATTATCTAGCTTACCTCAAAGATGTGGATATTTTTTTAAGTCATTGGGTCATAAATGAAGCTGTGGTATATGTTTCAAAATATGACTATAAAAATGTTCCCTAATTATTGAATTCATGCTGTGTGATAATGCACTGGACTGAAAGGTCAGTTTGAACCACAAGGTTCATGGTTCAAACACACCAGCCTCTCCTTGGAAGCTATAAACAGGATTTGCTATGAGTCAGAACTGACTCAACAGCATTTAACAACAATATGATATATATA